CTCCTGATTTTCCTTTCTCAGGTGCCTAATTCCAACAACTGATGTTACATTTTAATAACTTGAAGGAACAGAAACTATGGGCAAATATTTAGCTGAGGGCACCATATGTGGCCAAGTCTGAAGAGGAGAACTGGTTGGTCAAGGATGGGCATCCCCGGCGCCCACCAGACCAGGGAATGCAGTAATTATTAAATAATTGGACATCAGAAGAAGCTCCTTCCTTCCCTGAGCAGTTGCCTCACACTCAGACATCAAAGTTTTTCTTTCTTTCTTTCCTTCTTTCTTTCTTTCTTTTTTCTTCCCTTGCAAAAAAAAAAAAAAAAAAAAAAAAAAGGAGGAATCCTGTCTGAACCCTGTCAAATCAACTTCTAAATGTTTGGATTTTCCATATGATGTCTAATCCTATTTGGAATGCTTCTGAACATTTGGCCTTGATTACATCTTGGAGCAATGAACTTCACAGGTCATTGTGCGTCGAATAAAAAGTATTTTTTTTCATCAGGTTCACTTGAATGTCCCCTTGTTCTTTAATTATAAGGCAGGATGAATAGGAGAGCGAGATTTACCTTCTCTATGCTGCCCATTATTCCACGTACCTCTATTATGTCTCCTCTTATTCATCTCTTTCCTAAACACAATCGCCACAATCTGTTCAACCTCCCTTCACATGAAAACCCTCCCGTGCTTGCCACCATTCCCGCTGTTTGTCCCCAAACTCCTCCTCATTCCAGTGGACTTTTGGGAAAGAGGAAAACCAAAACAGAGACAGCTCCAGGGAAGGTATATACATATATATATGTATATATATATATACACACATGAATATATACCCCAGGCATATTCTGCCACTCCATGAGTTTTGGTGTCCTTTCTCATATTTTTCTCTTTTCATTTCAACAGGTTGTTGGTCTTGTTTTTCCAGATTCTAGCCCGCTGAGGAGAAATTTCCATGCGCCTCCAATGGAGGCACATGCTCTCCTCCCTATATGTATATGGCTAATTGAAATTCCTTTGTCTAATCTGCCCTGCTGTGCCCTTAGCGTGTGGGATGAGCCGGGGATCAAGCCTAGTCCTTCCCAGCGCCGCGCTGCACCCGACTGGCCACGGATCTGTCAGGTCCCTTTCTCTTGACACATATTTCCCCCTCCCTGTCTTAATTAACCCAAATAGCTTGAACCATCTGAAAACACTGCCAGATAATTCCTCGTTCCCTTCCTCCGTTCCATGTGTGAATAAGCAACTCTATTTCTGGAGCGAAATTTGGAAGTAGAAAGGCGGATGCCTTTTAATCCCACTGAAGGTTGCACTAGTTCGGCTCTGCACGTGCACAACTTTACCCCTTCCCTGTCAAGAATTGTCATTTCCCAGCTCCTACAGGACTGTTTTTTGTTTTTGTTTTTTTTTTGTTAACTTCTGCTCAGGGACTTTAAGACTTCTGCAGACCCACACGCGTTGTGTCAGATGGTTTTCCTTATATTTTTTCTGACATATTAAAAAGAAAAAGATGGAAGAGACATGCTTTTCCTTTGCAACTGCAAAATATTTCCTTTGCAAAGAGCAAGATGTCTGTCCCAGAGATCTAAGTGGTGCATGCACGGCGAATTACAGACCTGGTCCCCCAGGCTTTGGTGACACACCACGTACCCGGGCAGCAGCGATGATCGGGGGGCTCAGCAACACGTGCATGAGCTCGTGAGCCCAAGGAGGGTCTGCAGAGCTGGGCTGCTGTGCTCCAGCTATTTTCTGTTTGAGAATGTCTACTTCCCATTGGAAAAGGGTCAAGTAACCCAGGGTGGAACACCCGCTGCAGCGAGCATATACAGCTCAAACTCTAACCTTCTCCCCCCAACCTTAAGCACAGCATCAACTCTCATTCCTTCAACCTCCCCCAGCCCTGGACACCAAAACCACTTCTGACCCTAAAACCTGCACCCAGCTCCCCAAGCAAGCGGCGGGTCCCGCGTGAAACGCAACGCTACCGACACCTTCTTGAAAGCAAAAGAAAGTATTTCAGGACCTGGGCAGGGGCAGTAAATTTATGTTCACCTGGCCTGGAAAAGAAAGAATAAATGAACCCAAGGGGTTCATACCCCCTCGTGCCCCCTGCCACGCATGTGCACACCCCCACAATCTGCACCTCTGTGCAAGCAGCAAAAACTGGGGATGTGCATCTGGTCCCTGATGTGCATCCATGCCAACCAGCCCAGGAAAGGCATAGGAGATCCCAACCTCGCTGCTGCTATGCTGGCATCTGCCTGTCCCACAGCTGTGGGGCTGTTGTGCCCCATCCACCCACCACCATGCCTGCTGGTGACCCATGCGCTCAGCCAGCCCGAGCGTCATTGAAGGGATGGTTAATGGGGCTGGATGCCAAGCCAAGCAGCTTGGTACCAGCAAGAAGAGCCATGCCAGATGGGCACGACGCGCAACAGAACAGGACCATCACCCCATCCATGAACACACACACATCCATCCATATCACCTCCAAGATGCTGCAAACCCTTGCAGACCCTTACACCCATCCACCCCTTCCTTCCCATCCCCAAGCTCTTGAAGTCGGTTGGATTTTCCCCTTGGCTTACCATGAGTGAGTGCCGGTTGGCAGAGAGCAGCCCGGTGCCGTAGCCGGAGCCCAGCCCGGCCATGGCTCCGACGTCCCTATCAAGCCATGCATGGCGGCGTGACCCCCGGGCATGGCGGTGGCAGGTCCCACTGCATGGTTGCGTAGCACGTGGATGGCATCGTCCAGTCTCTCCAGGCGGTCCTCGATGCGGCTTTGCTGTTGGAGTGCGGGAAATAAAAGTGGGAAGAGCATCAGCAGGAGCGTAGGGCTGCTGCCACCGGTGTGTGTGGGGCGCGTGGGGGCACGGTCACTGACAGCCAGTCCTTCCTTCTCAACCCCTGGGTGGCTTTTTTGTTGGTTCTGGATTTTTTTTTTTTTTTTTTGCAAGGAGTGGTTTTGTTTGCCTAGGGCCACGTTTAGAGTAGCGTTGCGGGGAAGGAGAGAGCATGGTTAACACGAGTACAGCTTTGATTTTCATGGGCAAAACAGGTTCAATGATTCCTCATGAACATAATCATTACAGTACATACGTTGCCCTCTATGTCTTTGAAAAGTTTTAGTGATACTTAAAAAAAAAAATAATAAAAATTAAAAAGAAGTAGAAGTAAAGAAACAAATATAGCTCTGACTTCAACTGGGCTTTTTTTCCTCCCCCCATCTAATGCCAGGATCACACACAAAGAGAGAAACTACCATCTCCTCCAGCCCCTTGCTGCTAAGTAGATTTATTCCCTACAGGTACACATCCTCAAATCACTTTTTATCACTGAAAAAAAAGATACTCTTCCCTATTTGAGCACCTTACAGCTGGGGAGCAATGCGGCAACAACCAGCAGCTGGGGTGGTCCCGAGGTGCAGGGCTGCTCTGACCCCCCCATTGGGGTCCCTACAACCAAGCAGCCAAGAAGGATAAGCCCTTGCCTCCCACTTCTCCATCCTCATCCCCAGCCCCAGGGAGAGCCTCAAGAGCCCCAACCACCCCTTCCCCCAGTTCACCATGCTCCTGCTAAGCCAAAAAATAGCCCCCCAAGGCTTGGAGGGGGGAAAACGACAACCTCGAGGCTTCAGCCCACCTCTTGCACAGACTGGGACCTGTATCTGTGTGCCATGCTCCAGAACAACCCACTGTGGAGCCCCCAGAGACCCCCTGCACCCCCCGTGCTGGTCACCCCAGCCCCGCTGCTGCCCTCAGCTATCCCCAGCACAACCCTGGGCACCTGAAGTCTTTGCTCGTTAATAAAATAAGGAATTGGGAAGCTCAACAGGACAGCCCCTGAGAACTGGGGAACTGGAGCTGCAGAAATAATTAGACGTAGCTTATGGATCTCTGCAGCAAATCTCTTAACCAACCCATCGCTCTTCACAAACCAAAGCAAGTGAAAAACCTCCAGAAGACAGAGAGCCCAGAAAATGTCACAGTCAATCAGGGGAAGCATTTCTGCATCAGGGCAGAAAAACCAGTCCATGCTAATTCCTGACTCCAGCAAGCTTCTAACAAAGCCAACAGGACGGCTGTATCGCCTCGGACCTGGAGGTTAAACACTGGGTCGTCGGGAATTACCTGATTGCTTTTTTTCTTTAATGAACCTTTTAAGTTCCAGCACTATTTATTTTACACCCAAAATTCACACTGATTAGTAAAACCCTCTAGAATGCCAACCAAGACCAACAACCAATGGAGAAGAGCAAGACAGGGGATATGGGACAGTCTACGGCCCTTCTCAGTCCCAACATGCTTTTGGCCAACTCTTACTTCATCTTTCCCTTCGGAAAGGTATCAGATCTTACCGACACCCTTTAACCCCCTGACACACAAGCGTTTAGGACCAGCTCAGCCTGGCAAGCTCAGCTGCTGGCTTTTCCCGGGGAGGGGGCTCCTGAGCATCACTGCCGCACCAGCCATGGTCCATGGGACCAATGGATGCTCCGTCCTGCATGACCGCCACCATGGCTTCCTACTCCTGTTTCCTCTTCCATCTCTTCCATCTGCCTGCTCATCCTCCCCTTTTTTTTGCAGTCCTCATTCCACTCTTCATTATATTTCAACACTGCATCCCCTATCCGACAGGAGACCCTGACCAGGAGCATCTCAACCCGCATCACGTAGCTAGAGGACGGGGCGCCCATGATAGGAATTTTGAGTTGGGAAAAATCAAGTCCGAGGGCATACAGAGGTCAACTAACGAAATGAAAACCTGTGTGAGAAGAATGGATGAGAAATGGAAAGAACAGCAAGTAAAATACTGAGGCAGAGGAGGTCACCAGACAAAACATACCAAAGAGTGTAAGGGACCTTCATAATTGGGAGATGATGACGCTTGACCTCCATTTCTAGACCAAACAGCTGTGCCTGCTAATAGTAAAATTGGAATTACCATTAGAACTGTGCAAACAAAAATGTCTTTCAAACTTTTTTGGACAGTTTTGTAGACATGTAAATGCCGTATTCCAGATAGACTATAGAGCAGACATATGGAGAAATTCCAAAATACACACGGATGAAAAAAAAAAAAAAATTAAAAAAAATGAGGTATTTTGTAGCAGAGCACGTAGATGCAGGCCACAAAGTTCCCCCAGGCTGCTCCTCCGTATAGAGGGCTGCATTCATTCAGCAGCCGGCGCTCCGAGAGGCTCCGTGAGAAGGAAACGTGTCAGTGGTGGAAGGAGAAGCGGTGCTGCCGTGGGGTGCTGGGGGCGTGGGACCCCCGTGCCAGCCCCACACGGAGCAGCCCCTTCTCCTAACCTTGCTTCAGGACACGCTCAGTGCCACTGATTACGTCATTCCACCATCAAATTTACAAAATCTTAAAAAAAAAATTAAAAAAAAGCAGTCAGTAGTAGCACTGCACACACCATTCACGTAGAGGCTGATAAGGTTTGTGCTCTCTTTGGGCAGATTATTTGGTTTGGCCCTGGTGAGAGCACCAAGGGTCCGACTGAAAACCTTCTGGTTTGTATCTGCTGCTCTACATCTGTTCCTGCTGCTGCATGGAGAAAAGGGCTCCTGGTCTCCAGCAGCATTTTCTAAGGAAAAATTTGCTCCTGTGAAAGAGGCGAAGCAAACGGGGGGGGGGGGGGGGGGAGGGGTAAAGGGTTTTTTCAGATATTTTCCTGACAGCTTTTATATATATTGCACAAATTTATAATGTTCTTTTGAATGGGTGATCTTCCGAATGATCTCATAAAGTGGGGTTAAGAATTTGAGATGGAAATATTAGGATGTTAATCTCAATGTCTAGATTGAGTGGCATATACTTGGACTGAGACAGGCCAGGGTGGAACTCATGGCAATTATTTTTTAGGCTCTCACAGTTACGATTTTTTTTTTTTTTTCTCCAAAAGTCAAAATTATGTCAGTTCTAATTAAAACTTAACTCTTCCCTTTTCTGGTCCACATGGAGCTTTTAGCTCAGGTTTTGCTACAGCCCTGAATGGAGCAATGAGCAGCAATCTTTACTTTTGAAATAATTTTTAACTAGCCATTGATATCCTTGAGGGAAAGCATCTTGCACGCTAAACATTTTCACCTTATTTATTTCACTTTAACTTCTTATTTAAATGCTTACACTCCTTATTTTTATTTATTTTGACACTCCGTTCTCCCTATTTACCCAGCAGAGCCTGCAGAAAGCCATGCAGCCCAAACCACCACAGGATTTTCCTCTCCGGCTTGGTACAAAGTCATTTTCTGGGGTATGGGGACCCCCCCAAGGACAGGACCCTCTGTCCCCATCCCCTGCTAGGGGTGGCTCTGTGGAGACATTTGTTGCCTGGATGTCCCTGTGCTGTTCCATGCTCCGTCATAGCAGGGGAGCAAGATGGAGGTAGACCTGGTGTCCCCCTGGACCTCATCCTGCGGGTCCTGCCAGCTAGCCCAAGCTTTTCTCCACCCTTTCTTCCCAAAGAGTTTTGTCACTGCAGAGACCTGCAAGGGCTCTGTTCCCAAGGCTGGGGCATCATTTCGGGAGCTCCTTCCACCTATGTCCCTTGAAGAGGAGGGATGGAGCTCACCTCCGCAGGCACTGCCATGGAATCCCAGCGGCATCAGCTGCCATTTGGGATTCCCGATGAGGTTACCAGGGCCCAGGGCTCATGCACAAAGAAGAGGAGAGCGGGCTCATTGGTTCTGTGTGATACAGACCTCTTCCCAAAGGGGAGGGGAGCCAGGAGCCCATCCCCAAGGCGTTGGTGTGTGCTGCGTGGGAGGAGAAGCCTAACGCTCTATCTGGAACATCTCAAGGTTTAAGAAATGGGAATTATGCTCAGACAGATGTTTAAAGCAGTTGATGCTCATGAGAACTACCCTGGGCCTCTGGATCACTTCAGCTTAGGCTTTTATTGGTAAAGTGGCTCTAGTTAAAATAGTTATTATAAATAATTATAATAAAGTATAAAATGAATCAACTGGATTCACAGGGGCTCAGTTTGGCTGGAAATACATTTTACGGATCAAACAGGCTTCTGCTTGAGCCCCAGGAGGAACGTCCAAGGAGATGGACCTGGCACGGCCACCCTGGAGCGAGGCTGCCACGAGGGCTTGGGTGTCCTTGCATGGGGACATGGTCCTGCACAGGGCAGGAGTCCTCCTGCAGACCCCGAGGGCACTGCAAGGCACCGCAATAGGAATGCACAAAAACAAAAACTGCTTTTCTGCAAATGCATCCATAAAAACACGTTTTTTCTGCAAATGCATCCATCAAAACACTGCTTTTCTGCAAATGCACCCGCCTGGGAGCTGCAAGGACCTTCTCTCTGCACTGGGAACACAGCGTGTGGGCCACCTCTCTGCTCATCTCCGAGGGAGCGGCGGCCACCTGCACGTGCTGCACGGGGACCGGCTGGATGCACATGGCACACCTGGTACCACAGGAGCTCATTTAGGCATCTCCTACCAAAAAAATAATGCTGAAACGTTCAGTAAAATAGAATTGTAACAACAATACCTGAGAGAGAAGGGGGAGAACCAACAGGAGTTGAAGGATTTGATGAAAAGCTGTTGTTGGTGTGATCTGGAGAATAGATCTTTAAAAGATGATACAGAATTAATCTAAAGCCATCACAAACTGATGCAGAAAGAAATATGGAGTTCTTATGCATTCAGTTCATTTAAATGAAAGCAGGACAGGTTAAAAAAAGCCTCTTATTCAAATATTGATATTTTTTATAAAGACAAAACTGTATTAGATGCAGGAAGCTAGACAACAGACCCCTTTTGATGGGAACAGACACTAGCCAATTAAGTGATGCTTTCGGATTGTCACACGGATCTGCTACGGTAGGTAGACACATTTTCATCGCATAGACTACTTTACGAATGAGAGTCATTGAACGAGGCCTTAAAGCACGCCTGAAAATTGCTTTTTCGTTCTGCTGAAATCCCTTAACGGCCAAAAATAAAGCAAAGGGAGCAGAGCACATTAAACTCTGGCACGGCGGGGAATCCGCAGCAGCAAACTCCCAACTCTACTCATCTGCTGCTCTGGAGAGAAAGCTCCCGCGTACCCCCCCCGGGGCCGGGCGAGGTGTCACCGCCCCGCGGCGTCCCCGCTCGTCATCTGTGCCATTTGTCAGGGCACCACTTCAAAGTGGATTCTGTACTGTATCGGTTATTTCAGGCAAACTAAGAGTCTGACTTTTCGTCTTTTTTGTGTTTTTTTTTCAATGAAGCATTGTAGAATATGCAAAAAAAAAAAAAAATTAACTCTCATGAGAACTCAATGGAACCCACTCTGCCCAGAAAATAACTCTAGTGGTCCGTATTAAAAGCCAGCCCGTGCCAACCGGTACCGCAGTGATAGATGGGGCACAGCAGCGTTTCCACCTGCTTCGAGACGGAAAAACTGCCGTGCCCCAGCTACCGCGGTAAGAGGTGGTGGCTGCTGACCTTAACAGCAACCACAGTCACTGAATAGGTGGGAACTGCCATGAAAAAGACAAAATCGACCGGCAAATTCAAAAGGAATCCTATTTTGCGGGTGGGTCGGTAGCGCAGAAGTCATCCTGCGGCTGGGTTCTGTGCAGCCCTCCCTCGCCCGAGGAAACGCGGTGGGTGATGGACCAACAGACACGGCTCCAGTCAATGGCACTGGGACAAAGCTTCCCCTCTTTCTATTCTACCATAAAATTAAGTCTAAAACTTTTTCAATGCCGTTTTGCCCTGCTGGTTCAATATTTCGGTTGGCAGTAACCCCATGCGGGTGACCTCATCTCTCCCGTGTGCTGTTTGTTCATCTTCGTTAAACTCCAGGCGTCCCATTCTGATTCAAGTTCACACTTTCAAAACGGTAAATGTGTATTCCAAAGTAAATATTTCCTTACAGAGGCAAGGGCTTTCCCCAGCGCATCACCAGTCTGCGAGCTGCCTGCCGCCCCGCTTCCTCTGTTTGCTGAAAAACAAAAAGATTCCATGTAAAAACAGACAGTAAGACAACACAGATTACTATTCCTGGTCCACTTACTCATAATTTAATGCTAATTACATAAAACTAATCATTAATTACCATTAATTTGTTTGCTGAGGTAGATATCAAACACATTCATGCTCCATTTTTGCAGAAAAAAAAAACCCAGCATGTCAAGCTTATAAAAAAATATATTTGATAACAGTTGGCCATAAGGCTTTACTTTTTCTACATGAAAAGCTTCTAACAGTAGAAGATGCTCAAAGATCTGGAAAACACGCAAGCACACAACTAGGCAAGCTGGGGAAGGGATTTTGTTTTCTCCTCATTCACCCGGTGACCCCGGTCCTTTGTACACTTTTCCAATGCATGTTTTAAAGATTTCATAGAATTTCATAAGGACGTTTTCCCAAGTGTTCCTTCTGACTTTGCTGGAACATCTTGTGAGCATTTAATGAAATTATTTTTCACCGTCTCTCAGGTGATGGGGTTGCAGCTTTTATTTAAGAAGTTTAGGGAAGAAGAATCATGGTGTAGCAAGCCAGCAGTTTCTCACGCTCAGGTGATGGGGTTGAAAACTTCTTTGCAGGAGAAACCAAAGGAAAGAAAGATCAGGGTGAAACATCCCACCAGTTTGAGCATCTGTATGTCCATGTACAAACCAGTGATCATGACTCTCACCGTCCCCCACCAAGACCCTCCGCAGGCTCCACACCATGAGCCTACGGGATGGGTAAAGGACTCAGGGACCAAACTGCCCATGTTTGTACCACAAAGCACAAGAACACGAACTTTTTTGATCATTAAAAAGTCATATTAAAGAGCCTGCTCCAAGTTTCAGCCCACCGTTACACAGTTACACATTCACACCTCCTCCAGCCTCCCCACCCTGAAAGCATTTATTTCATTCCCTGTCTCTGTTTAGCTTTTCCATCCCTCGCCCCTTTCATCCTGCCTTACTTGCTGAGCAGTTACCGCATCTCTGTGGTCAGAGGTATCCTGGTTATTGGAGGTTATTGATCCTCCAGCCTGCCTGAGCCTGACATTCCTACCAGCTGCTTCAGCAGAGAAAACTCAAGGAATGGCACAAACCAGCATTTTCCTTCTATTCCTCATGTACAACACATATGTTATCAAATTTAAGAAATGCAGCCTCTTTACATTTAACCTGACTGTAGAACTCGGACGTTTCAACATTTCTCCTACAGCATCCTCTGCTGGAAAGGCTTCAAGGTCTATGGGTGTCCCAGGGGATGTTGGATGAACTTGTACAGTAAATCTTTGCTGACTCCTTTTTCCCCCCTTTTCTTAGTTAAACTTCTATTATTGTGTACTTGAAAATGTGCTCATCTGCCAAAGACAGCTTATTTGTGATCTCAGTTTGAAATTAGGCATCAAGATGTAGAAAGAC